GTGCATGTTCATGGAAACTTTACTACCGTATTTTTGCAATGTGAACAAATGCAAGTCTGATTTAAGTCCCAGCCTTCCCAAACATGGGTTTGGGGGCACGGGTGGCCCATTTGTCTAAGGCGCTGCAATTCGCCATGCAGAGTTACGTCCCTTGGGCGCGCCAGCAACCTATGATTGTGGGTTTGAATCCTGGTTCACCCCGATTATGTCTCTAGGTTTGTCAGCACCATACCGCTGCTCGTGGGTTTCACCGAAGTGGTAAATGTCTGAGACCTGCATCACTTTGGGCTTTCCTCCCACATTAAGCTGACACGCCGTGATATAATTAACTGGAATACTGTTAAAAGTGGCTTTGAACCCAACTCACTCACTCACTCACTCCCAAACTTGGGGTTCTTGGGACACCTCACATATTTCACTGATTTGTGCCATAAGAAAAGACTAAAGTAATACAATTCATGTTAATTTCAAACCTGTAAATTGACATGTTGCACCAACTGGGATGGTAGTCATACTGTAAATCCTTGAATAAACGACCAGCGTTTATTTATTTTGGAAGATCCCGAGACCAAGCGTATATACATGGCAGACTTACTTGTTTCAGAAAGGGATGTTTACATCAAAGCCTTGTATTTTTTTCACTCACGTTCTGTTTCAAACTGTATACATATGGTATGGATTCTTGAAGACATTAATTGGTAGGATTCATCTTAATGCAATGAAGTATTACCTTTTAAAACCCTTTGTCAGGACCGCTGTGTCCAGTAGAAATCCAACAGGACCAGTATATTTTTATTTTATTTTATTTACAGACCACCATCATATAGCTTGAATATTGTTGAGTGTGGTAATAAACAACAAATAACCCCCCTCCCAAAACTGCACAACTTACGCCATCAAAAGAACGGGGTAATGAGATATAAACAAGACAAACATCACAAAAGGATGCGTGGAGAGCAATGTCCTTAGTTTGTAACAAACTCTTCCTGAACTAGCAAAGTCTCAGTGGGAGGTAGCTACATATGAAAGAGACTATTTGGGCAGGTACATCCAAAATCTGTTCCATGGATTGTAACACAATAGATTTGTTTGATTCCCATAGGTTTCTTAACAATTGCAACGTTTATCTACTTAAACAATTCACAATTTCTTTAGTTTTATCTATTTGTTCAGTATGGGGCACTGTCCAAATGTGCCCCCAGGACCTCGGTCCCCCTTACTCATTGCTGAAGACTAATTCCAACTCAGAAACTTCACTGGACCTATCAAATGTTGAACCTCCTACATGAACAGGTTGAATAGTATGTAAAATAGATATGGCAGAATGGTCCTAGTGCATAGGTTTACCATTTGTCCATATCTTTTTACAGCCCACATAGCCCATGTAGAACTCTCAATAGAACTTGGCACATGTAAAATTCCTAACCTCTATAGACGATGCCCCAAATACCCGACATGTCGAAGTATCAGTCTTCAAGAACTCACAAAACGCTGAGGAATCATTGAGCATGAAACCCGTGAAGATCCGTGGTAGAATAGGTCTTTATCTTGCCAGAAAAGGCGGCTATGCTTGTCATAAGAAGTGACTAACGAGATCGGGTGGTCAGGCTCGCTGACTTTGTTAATGCATGTCATCATATCTCAATTGCGTGGACAAACAAACAAACAAACAAACAAACTCATTGACCACATGCCATGGAACTTGGTATCAATGTTAAACAATACATTTGACCTAACAGGGATCTCTTAAGAAAGGTAACATGGGCTCTGATATTACTTATAAAAAAATAAAATATTTTACTCACAAAATCCTCACTGACCCTGGATGCAGGCATCTTCCATAGCCGAAATGCCAGAATGTGTGATGTCACCTCCAGTCATGGAAGTTAGGCTCCTGTTCTTTATTTGGAAAAAAATGAGTTATGCATGCTGTCCCAATATGCCTGCCCCTGTCTCCCCAATATGTCTGCATGCACTAGTGTATTACACAAGCCAAGGCAAGCATTCAACTTTCTGGGAACGAGTTGCAGAGAACAATTGTTTCAACAGAGGCCCCCCTATACATGTGGCTGTCTGTGCCCCCTACCCTGAACTCACTGTACATCGCCCTCCTATGGTGGTGTTTCAGGAGCATGTGCCCGGGACTGTAGCCACCTGCTGGATATACCGCCTGGACGTGGAGGCCGAACAAGGTAGGAATCCCTGGCAGTCCTCACGACACCATATTCACGCAGATCACATAGATCACAATCAAATGGGGAACCTACCTCTAGGGCTGTGATGAGTAGAAAAGAATGTACCCCTTTCTCAAAACCTAACCTGATCTGGAGTTCTAGATTTCAGCGGTAATATGCCACAATGTCCTTTCCATCCTATGTGAAAAAATGATTGAAAATTGAATTTGTCTGAACTTCTGAAATGTTAAATAAATGTTAGATAAATAATTGGACAGCATTTCATCTGGTACCCATATGCAAATATTACTCCGACAGAGCACAATTTCAGTATTGACTCTTTTGTGGACTTTGACGGTAATTGACCTCTGGTACACAGTATCCACCGCTAGCGATACTGACAGACAAAAGGTTTCAGGAACATCTAGGAGCCGGCTTTCCAAAAATACCAACCAAAGAAAAGGTCAATTCCAGCAATTAAGTAGAAGCAATCTCTTGGAGTAACATACGTTTGGCATACTGAGTGTGAAAAGCTGATTTTTCTAGCATCAAAAGAAAACCGGAGAGCATGAACATGGCCTGAGAAGACCACCTTTTGTTTGTATGTACCTACCTTTGAGGAAAATCAGCTTGGGACAAAGATTCATGTTTAAACAAGTAAAAAACACTTCCAGAGAGCATGAGGGCGGTCGGGCAGCCTAGTGGTTAAAGCGTTCGCTCATCACGCTGAAGACCCGGGTTCGATTCCCGACATGGGTACAATGTGTGAAGCCCATTTCTGGTGTCCCTCGCCGTGATATTGCTGGAATATTGCTAAAAGCGGTGTAAAACAATACTCACTCACTCACTCACTCCAGAGAGCATGTCATATCAGCCATTAAATTACTTCACTTAGCATTACCTCGCTGTTTGGTCTTGTATACACCCAAGCAAGGTATTGTTGAAAAGAACATCTTATTGTCATTCCTCTGAATGGCCAGTTGTGGTTGGAAGTTCCTTGTATTGAAGTGCCCATTGCACAGCTATAATTATAATGGCACGGCTTATATAAGACCTGAACCCTGAAGGGCACCCTTGGAAGTATTTTTTTGACAAAAGTACCTGGTGGCGAGTTTATGATATGATGCCTGTGATAAATGTACCGTCAGACAAGTAAACAATGTTAAACTAGACAAATACATTCCATAGCTGGTTACAGATGTGATCAATAGTTTCTGTACCAGAATCAGGGTATATTTTGTTAGTTACCTAATGCATTATGTTAAAGTTGTCTGTGAATCCTGCCATGGTGGATTAACATTTTGAATGTATGTCTGGAATTCTGGTGGACAAAGAGCTGTTGGCCTCACACAGGTCCTGACATCACCAGTGACCCCACCATGAGGTGGGTGAGGCAGATTTGTTATCTGGACCTGGAGTTGTATGAGACATGTAATCGGTACTTTGGCATCGTAGGTGTGAGCTTTCATTGTGTTTGATGTAAACTGGGGGTATATTTGATACTTTTATGAGTTTCACTGATGTATTTAGTCACACCAACCATTACCAATATAATTTCAGATAGATTATCTGTAATCTGTTTCCTATTAACAAGTGATCTGATCCTTGTGAAAGGTGTATGTGTTGCCTTTAAACAACTGATATGTTCCCAGTCGACAACAGCTGATTTTATCCAAGTAAATGGATAATTTTGTTCTAGTCAACAGCTTATTCGTTCCTATATACAGCTGATCTGTTCCCAGTCAACAGCTGATCTGTTTCCAGTCAACCGCTGATCTCTTCCCTGTCAACAACTGATCAGCTCTTAGTCAACAGCTGATCTGTTTCCAGTCAACAGCTGACCTGTTCCTAGTCAACAGCTGATCTATCCCCAGTCAACAGCTGATCTGTTCCCACTCAAGAGCTGATCTGTTCCTATGAACAGCTGATCTGTTGCTATGAACAGCTGATCTGTTCCCAGCCAATCAACAGCTGATCTGTTCCCAGTCAACAGCTGATCTGTTCTCAGTCAACAGCTGATCTGTTCCCAGTCAGCAGCTGATCAGCTCCCAGTCAACAGCTGATCAGCTCCGAGTCAATGGCTAATCTGTTCCCAGTCGACAGCTGATCTGTTTCCAGTCAACCGCTGATCTGTTCCCAGTCAATGGCTGATCTGTTCCCAGTCAATGGCTGATCTGTTCCCAGTCAACAGCTGATCTGTTTCCAGTCAACAGCTGATCTGTTCCCAGTCAACAGCTGATCTGTTTCCAGTCAACCGCTGATCTGTTCCCAGTCAACCTCTGATCTGTTTCCAGTCAACCGCTGATCTGTTCCCAGTCAATAGCTGATCTGATCCCAGTCAACAGCTGATCTGTTCCCAGTCAACAGCTGATCTGTTCCTATGAACAGCTGATCTGTTCCCAGTCAATGGCTGATCTGTTCCTAGTCAACAGCTGATCTATCCCCAGTCAACAGCTGTCTGTTCCCTGTCAAAAGCTGATCTGTAACCACTCAACAGCTGATCTATCCCCATTCAACAGCTGATCTGTTCCTATGAGCAGCTGATCTGTTCCCAATCAACGGCTGATCTGTTCCCACTCAACAGCTGATCAGCTCCCAGTCAACAGCTGATCTGTGATGTCCTCATCTACAAGGACTGATGATCTCATTAATGGTTCAATTGCTGATTCCAAGCATCTTGTTCACTCACCATAAACACACACACATCCTGTAATCAATGAAATGATCAGTACTATTGTGGCAAGTGAAAGCGACGAGCATGTTTGGGCGTGAATTGCACGCCTATTGACCACAGTGGAGTCAGTGCTTGTGACTGCCTAGCCCAGGCATAAGCAGAGTTTGTGTAGCAGGGCTTAGGTGGGGGTGATTTGAGCCACATAACACTGATAATTTCATAGTGACTCTGAATGGCTGGGTAATGGGTCAGTAGCGTTGTGGGCTGGGAATGTTTCAAGCACAAGAAGTGTTGTTGAGTTTGATCTGATGTTGATATAGAGCTTCAAGTACATGCCACTGTCTACGGGTGTTGAGCTCACCTGGGAATATGTGTTGTTCGCTCGTCAATGGCAGGACGTGACAGGTAAGTAATGCCTCACATTAATCTAAAAACTTGGACCTCAATGGGGCTGTGATACTTACATGGTGAATGGGCATATTGACATTTGCTGGAAACACTGTAGGTTTACAAGAATTTTTGTCACAGCACCAGGTTGCACTGTTATAGGAGGTTTTATTTGAGCTCAAAGTACTGGGAAAGTTGTTTTATGTTCGTCATAAAAATAGGTAAATTTTTGAAACCGACTTTTGATCATGTTATTTCTTACATATACAATAAACTACGGTTATAACGAACTCAAAGGGACCACTAATTTTAGTTTGTAATAACTGTAGTTTGTTATAAGCATATATACAGCATTTTTCAACAAATGCCTGGAACTAAAACATAAGTTTGTTATATCCTTCAGTTCATTATAAGCGTGTTCGTTTTAAACATAGTTTACTGTATAGGGAAAGTTAAACGAAAGTTGTGTATTATTGAGCCTTGGAAATATTTTTGTTGTATTGCTGACCACAGATTCATTTATGTTAGTAACACTTGCATTTGTAAGCATGTAGTGTTGTCATAGGTAAAGGTGTATGTTGTGTGGACCATGTAAGGTAGCTAGGAAGTGGACACTTTCTTGTTTTTGCACCTGTGTGATCTTGTTCTTACCCAGGGCCCTCTTCCACAAAGCAATCTTAGCACTGTGACTATTGTAAGCCTGTCTTAAGGGACAAGTTCAAAAGTCTGATGTCGGATAAAAATCTTAATTCCTTAAGTTTAGGGGTGGGGGAGTTGATGGACCTACAAGTTTTCCATCCGACAGAATCAATTTACCTGATTTCTAAATGTTTTGTATAGTAACTATACTAATCCCATCCTGTTTCAATCATATGCTGTTTGGACTTGTCATAAATACAGCCAGTCTTCCACAAGGTAGGGTTTTATCAATGCCGGCAATAGTAGTAAGTTGTTGTTTGTTTGTTGTTTAACGCCACACTCAGCAATATTCCAGTTATATGATGGCGGTCTGTAAATAATCGAGTCAGGACCAGACATTTCAGTGATTGACATCATGAACATTGATCCACACTTGGGATACGATGCCATGCATCAACCAAGTCAGCGACCCCGGCCAGCCGATCCCGTTAGTTGCCTCTTACAACAAGCATAGTCGCCATTTACGGCAAGCATGTGTCCTTATGATGATTACATTTTGCAAAACCATTAATAATGGCAAATGTCTACTTGTCCTTATGATATATTAACTATTGGGCAGTCTGGCAGGGACAACACGAATAGTGCCAGTTTCTAACGCTGAGCACATAATTCTGAAGTACCCACAGTTTGATGGCGTCAAGCCCAAGAAAGCATGACCATTTACACATAACACTGTGATTAGTGATGGAGTATGGTAAATATGGCTTGGAGGTATTGTGTGTTCAAAGATCAATGTTGTGTGGACAAAGGGTAAGTCAAGACACACATTTAAACATTATTGACATGCACTTGGCTCAAGTAGACATAAACATTAGTTGCATTTTTCAGCAATAGTATGCCCTGGTGCATGTTTTATATAGCTAAATCGAGCCCACTCAAGGCAAAAGGAGGATTAATGTTTGTTAATGTTGTGAATCGCTGTAAGTTCATCTATCAGTTATTACATAGAGGCAAACTATTGATGGCTGAAGGATGATGGACCCAAGCTTGTACTTAAAGTGTTGTTACTTTGTGGCCAGGGATGAATGCAGCAGCATGGCTCGGATCGGCTCCGGTACCAGTTGCTGGTACGAACACCAAGGAGGCGGTACTCTGTTAAACCTCCTTATATCAACTCACACCAGATCGGCCTATAGAGATCCTGATCAGTCGATGAATCTTCGTGGCGTAGTGACTCGGCATCAATGAAATCAATTTATCCCTGAGATTATTTTGTTCCTATTCGCCAGATTGTCTTCGCTAAGTGAATGAATTTGTTCCGAAAAGTTTGAAACACAACAGTTCCCTGCCAAGACCAATTGAAAAACAAACATTCTTGGATATCTTTATCAATTATAGACTCTTCTGACAACTGTCCGAGAAATTTAAATCCTGACCGTAGTGAACACATCTGTTTATCTGTCTTCCAGGTGATAAACCACAATCTGTATTTGATTTGTAAGAAATATTTGCCGTACATTGACATCCGTTTAGGTAGGAATATCCGCCGTTATCAGAGATTAGCCCGACAGGAGGGATTGTCAGGAGGTTGAGTGTTTGGCCTACTGGCCCAGGTGTGACAGGCATGGTGATTATAACATTAGCAGATCATCTTCAGATCAATCATGCTGTTACTAGTTTGTGATATCTTGGTAATACATAAACAGTCATTAGATATTGCATTTACTCCACAGGTTTGCTATCCAATATTTCTCATTTTTTCTTTAATGGATTTCATGGTCAATATGCCAGGATCCAAAACCATGGAAACAAAAACAAAAGAAATTGTTGCCAGGGTTGGTTTAAAAATCAGATGTCCAAAATAGGCTCATTTTTTATTGAACAATATTTGTTCTCTTTGTTGTTTTATATATGTCAATACATTCGTCCATAATGCAAGAAACTATGTTGACTTTGGTATAGCTAACAAACCAGATGGCTCATATAGTCTGTGTGAGCTTTTCTGAATGCGTCAATGAATTAAAATTATGAACTAAAAACTGAAACAAAATCACAGCTCATGACAACTTTTTGAGCAATTGGGTTTCTCTTTTAATTGGCTTTTGACATTTTTCATTGGGTAACCAATATATTTTAACTCATCTATTCATCACTCTTTGGGGTATTTCCCCAAAATTAGTGAACATTTTAAGATTTAATAAATATGAAATAACGTTGTAGATGTACATGATAAGTGTTCTAAATATATAGGCTTGACTCGGAAAGTAAATTAGCTTGTAATTGTGTTTTGGAAATTAGCTCCCTTGTATGCATTTGGGTATTTTGGCTGTTTTTATACATTTGAGTTATTCATTTAATGCTTGCGTTTCTGTACGCAAGTGAAGTGAAAGTAATCAGGTTTTGAATATTTTTTGGGGTTTTTTTTATGCAAATACGCTGCTTATCTGTAGCTCTGAAAATCAAAGAATTCAGGTTTCATGCAGTCTCTCATGATACGTTGTGTGACCAGTCATAATATTAAAAAAATCACAGATAACTCATTTCACAGAGCTTAAACTATTTCATGCAAAGTTTGGTCTGGTCATACGTAAGTTTGCATTTGGTGAATAGAAAATAATTCTTTCCATATTTAATATTTTTGTTAATTATTTTGAGGTTGGTTGATCTGTATGCCAGTGAAGAAAATGTATGACTTGAGATCGTTATATGTGTGTCCCCTGACCAAGTATATGATTACAGTTGAAGTACTGCGGGGATGATAAGGCACAACTGGTCTTGTGTTGCACTACAGCAGGGTAGTCTATACCAGCTGAATTAATCTGTTGACTTGCGACAGGGATGTTTTATGAGGGATTAGAAACTATGGCCGATATCAGAGATATCAGTAGTCGTGGGTGTAGGGGCAGGAATAAGAGATGTTTTATTACAACTGCTAAGTCTGTTAGGCTAGGATGATCCTTGGTCAAATAGGTCTCTTTTGAAAACTGTGTTGCCATTATGATCGGTTTGCTTTTATATAGACACTGCTGTGTGATATATCACTCCTGGCTTGCCTGTGATTCGGATTTGATCAATGGTTATACATGTATTCAGTTCATGTTGGTAGTGTAAGAGAGTTGTACTTAAATTTTCAATATTGCATTTAAAATTGGCATAGATGTTTTAGATTTTTGAAAAATTAAGTTCAAATAAAATGAATTAAGATGAATATGAGAAAATGGCCAAAGTTTATTTTTCTAGAGACGTCTATAAAAAAAAGAAGTATAAAATAACAATGAAATGAATTAAAATCAGTATGAAAAAAACGACAATTTTTATAAAACCTTTTTTTTTATATTTCAGAAGTTGGTGTGATTACATTGTTTGGTAGTCATGTAAGTGTTGTTAAACCTATGGCACCTGTTCGTTATAATGTTACCACTGCCATCAGGGTTGAAAGATTCATGTATTTGCACATGTCAGCCCCCTTATTAGCGACTGAACGGTCGCATACGCGACTGAATTTTAACACCATTATTTTAATTTTGGTTACCAGTTTGGCTCCTTAATTATTGTCATCTTTACTGTAGAAATAACCGATTCATAGCTGGATGTTATTTGCAAGATCGACGAGAGAAAATAATGTCCGTATTCCATAGCACATCACCGGCATGTAAACACTGTAATATCACAAACTATCTTCAGTCTTAAATTCTTTTCAATTACAAATGGGGGCACGGGTGGCCCAGTCGTCTAAGGCGCCGCAATTCGCTGTGCAGAGTTGTGTCTCTTGGGCATGCCAGAAACCTATGATTGTGGGTTCGAATCCCGGTTCGCCCTGATTATGTTTCTAGGTTTGTCAGCACCATACCCATGCTCATTGGTTTGACCGAGCGGTAAATGTCTGAGACATGCATCACTTCGGGCTTTCCTCCCACTATAAGCTGACACGCCATGATATAACAGTAACTGGAATAATGTTAAAAGCTGCGTTAAACACAACTCACTCACTCACTCAAATAAAAGTAATAATATCCCAAGTGCATTTCACCTGAAGTCCAGTTTTGTATCATAAGCATCCAATGAAAAGCGTTTGTGTAGCAAGCTCCATACATACTGCACAGAATGCGCTATTTGTGTAGTTTTAACATAGTGGTAGTGTTTGGAGTATTGACTTTGATTTGCTGTTCGACAGTGACATGCAAACTTGTGGTGTTTTCATTATTTCGTCAAAAACATCCAAGCAGTGAAATGATGTCGAAAGGGGTAGAATAGGTCTTCAGCCCATGCTTACCGTAAAAGACAACTATGATTTTCGTAAAAGGCGACTGACAGGATTGAGTGGTCAGGCTCGCTGACTTGGTTGATGCATGTCGTCGTATCCAAATTGAGTGGATCGA